AACAGCGCCGTGCACCCAGGGCCTGGTCTGAGCGGGTCTGGCAGGTGGGGCCATGGCCGCAGCAGGCAGGGGGGCCCCAGCACCTCCTCCACCCAGCACTCAAGAGGCCTCATGGCAGCCCGAGCCAGGCCCTGCTGCTCCCCCGCCCAAGCCCCCCAGCCATGCCCACCCCTGCCCCAGCCCCTCCAAGGCACACAGACACAGACAGGAGGGCCAAATGCTTTTATTTCCTCAGCCCCGTGGCTGCCCTGGGAGGGAGCACACGGGCTGGGAGATCGTGCAGGGGCTGCACCACCCCTGCCAGGACACTGCTGCAGCACAGCGGGGTGTGAGCCCTACCCTGGTACCAGCTGGTTTCCAGCAAGCATGGCTGGACAACTGCTGCTGCAGCCCAGGGAGCTTCTTCTGCAGCTCAGCTCCAACATCCCTTTGCGCCCAGAGGCAGCAGGGCCAGCCCAGCTGCTGTTTCAAGGACTGACCGCAGGGCTGGAACAGGAAGATTGTGGCCAGAGCATGCACTGCTGCCCCTGCCACTTCCCCAGCTGGCTGTTGTCTCACCCAGCCGCAGGGCCATAGCAGTAGATGCAGGGAATGTAATTAAAATGACTTAATTATCTGCTAACAAGCTAGTTTTATAAAACTATGATCTGATTATTAAACACATGACTGAGTCAGATTTGTTTTTAAGTGGGGGGGCTGCTACATTCTGAGATTCTGGAGGGTGCTTGTGGCTGCAAGGCCGAGACCCCTGCTCCAGCCAAGCAGGCAGCTGGAAGGGAGGATGGGCCCCAGGCCAGGCCACTCCTGAGGCCCCTCCAGCCCCAGGAGGGAAGTCAACGAGGAAAGCATGGTTGTTACTGGCGCCACACACAGGGGCAGCACCAAGGCCCCTTCCTGCCAGCAGAAGCTCCAGCACCAGAGCATGGGGAGAGGGGGGAGCCCCATGTGTGCCCATGGGGAGGGGAATCCATGGGCTGGGTGTGCTCTGCCGGCTGCACAGTCATGCCTGTTCTCAGCCCCACTAAAGCAGGCATCATGCAGCCAGCAGTGCCTGCAGGAGCTGTGGATAGTTAGGAGTGCCCCACCCCGTAACGGGGTCCCAGGAGGGGCCAGCACAGAAGCCCTGCCCTTCCACGACAGCATCCAGACACGACAGGTGGCAGCCCTGGGTGACCTGGGAGGATAGAGAGTCCAGTCAGTGCAGGCCCCAGCTTAGCAGTCACTCCTATGTGCCCCTGGAGAAGCTGTGCTGCGCTGGAGGACGGAAGCGGGGCGCCCGCCTAGATCCCACAGAACAAGCAGTGGCTGGAGGGGGTAGGCCCGTGCCTGCCCTCGCCCATCACCCCTAAGCAGCTCCCAAACCCGCCCTGACCATTGCTGCCCTCACTCACGTCAAAGAGCGCAGCACTAGGCCCCTTCTCCTGGAGCTTGTACAGCACGGGGTTCAGGAAGCCCAGGGCGGGCAGCCCCCGCTGCAGGCGCCGGTCATTGATCAGTGCCACGATGCCTGCAACCACTGGAGTGGATGCCTGCAGGGAGAAGAGGGAGCACCTCAGAGTGTGCGGGAGTTGGGCGGAGGCATTGAAGGGGGCAACCTGGACTGCAAGGCAGTCATGGACAGAGACAGGCAGCCATGGTGGATTGATTGCCCAGCGTGCTCCCTACCGAGGTGCCGGACACCCACGGCAGGGGGATGAGGTTCGACACAACCCAGTAGTTGTCGGACAGGGCAGCAAGATCAGGATAGGCACGGCCACTGCTGTTGTAGTAGGAGCTGGGCGGCAGCTTGGGGGCCGACTGCAAGAATTTCTTCACCGCTGTGGCCTGCAGGGATGGGGTGGGGGGTCAGTCATACCCTGTTCCTGCAGCCCACACCCAGCCCCTGTGCCCAGCATCATTCGGTACCCATCCCCCCTGCTGCACCAGCACTGCCTCTCCGGGCCTGTCACAGCCCAGCCCTGTACTGGAGGGGTTGGGGGGGGGCAGGCACCTGGTAGTTTGGCCTAAGAAAGACATTACTGAAGCCACCACCACTGATGTAGTCCGTCACCTCCAGGGACACCAGGAAGGGGTTCTTAAAGGCCGTGCCGCCCACCGTGGTCACGTAGGGGCTGCGGGGACACAGCAGTTGACAGCTCTGGGCAGCTCCTCACCCCTTTGTGATGCGCCGGAGTCTCAGTACCCCTGGCTTTAGGGCTCTGGACCTCCCTACCCCACTCAGCTTACACTGGCTCCTGGTTTCATAGTTTCTAGGGTCGGAAGGGACCTGAACAGATCATCCAGACCAACCCCGCCATGGCAGGAAAGAGTACTGGGG